TCTGTTGTTTATTTTGCTGTTTGAGCTGCCATTGTTGTAGGTTTTCTTGCCACCGCTGTAATCTTTCTTCTTGTTTAATTTCTCATTCTTCTTGTCTCTTTTCATTTTCCTCTAACAACTGCTGTAAGCTCTCTTCTTGTTTAATTTCTCGTTCTTCTTGTTTATTTTGTTGTTCGAGCTGCCATTGTTGCAGGTTTTCTTGCAACTGCTGTTGTATTGCTGCCATCAAATCTGCTAAACTGTTGTTTGATTTTCTGCCTCTCGTTTCCATTTTTTTTTTCGTTCCACTTCTGACACCAATTTGTTACGTCTCCGTTTTTTAATTGATTTTCAGTAACTTCGTTCCCACGAAACTTTAGCGACACAAGTCCTTTCTTAAATAAAACTGGTTTATTCTTTCCGAATACAACTTTACGATACACTTAATTTCAACAGTCGCTCTTTTACAAATGTTTTAACAATGAACGTTAACTTCAACAATACTTCCTGACTGCAGCTCAATTACTCACTACCTACACACACATTATTCCCGTCACGTTGTCACCCTCTTATATCTACCAGACTACCCTATATTTAGTAATCTCCCGACAATTCATGAAGGTACAAAATATTTCCAGAAAGCAGGGGGCGTGACACTAGTCACGTGACCTCGCTGACGCAACAATATTAAGTTATTTTGTTTTGGAATTAATTAAAAACATAAAAGAAGATAGAACATAGGAATTTGTGGCATAAAGCAAAGGTTTTTTTATGTATGAGCTTTCTTCAGATATGGTATATCAGAGGAATTGGTGGTTTTTCTTCTTTTTTTTGGTCATGGTCCCTGCACCATGATTACCTTCCTTCCTGTCCATTTATTCCTCTTGTCTCTGACTTTTTTTATCTGGCTGTTCGACAAGGGTTCTTCCATATCTACCATTGCTGGATATAGAGTAGCCTTATCCAATACCTTCCTTTTTTTTTCCCCATTACTGCAGGGTACTTTCCTACCATTTCCCTTTTGTTGCGGTTCTTCTGTATCCTTTGTTCTCCTCATCCTACAATCCTTCTGGATTGGCACCTTAATATAGTTCTCCTCACCCTTACACAAGACCCATTCAAACCCTTGAATACCTGTTCCATTTATCCCTCCACACCTGTTTTTTGCTCTTTTTTTGGCCTGTGGTCGTCGGAGGTTAGATGTTTTGCCATTGACACTTCACATGTTCTTTACCAACATGCCTATGTTCTCACGTATCTGGATCATAGTTTTCTCCCTAAAACATTGATGGGTTGTGAAGGCAACATCTCCTTTACACCAATCTCCTTACCTTCCATTTCCCATTCAGATCCAGATAAACTTCTATGTCCTATGTGATTTCTCAGATGTTATGTTACCTGCACAGCTTTGTATTGTATCATATTGACTTGACAGTTATTATGGTTTTAAAATCTCACAAAAGGCTTGTTAGACAACTAGAGGCGCTCAGAAACTTCTGTTTTTCTTCACCCTGCTAGCGAAATAAAGTTATTCTAGGGTGAATTCGGAAAATTTACTAGAGTGAATAAAACTAAGTGACATACTAAGTTTGAACGATGGGGTGTGAATATTAACCATGTGGATACTTGGTAAACGTGCGTGGCATGGGTATGTACAAAGTGTGATTAATTGAGAGCCCCATGACATCTGGGAAAGCTGTGAAAACTGAAAGCAGGGAGGAAGGGATCTGAAACATGATGGAAAGGTGTGAAAGCTAAAAGATAAGTGAACAAGTAACAGGCATGATAAAAAATAGGATAAATGACCAGCTTGAAGGACCGAGGCTGTGACACAAGCAGTAATTAAGATTTAACAAAAATTGTAAAATTTAATCATTAATTCAGGATGGGCACCTTTTCAGGGCTGGGATCACAGGATTCAAATTTTAAGGTCAAAATTTTGCACATCTTCCTTTCATGGTTCCCATTTATTTATCTACTAGAATCCTTCATCTCAGAGATATTTCACCTACCATTCTTCTAGGTTGCATTTGCCAACTTCTCAAATTGGCTTAATCTTCCTGGTTTTCCAGTTCCCAGTGTTTTTTCTAGGGTTCATCTCATCAAATACAGCACCTTATTTTCTCCCTTGCTTTTTATCTCTGTTGTCCTCTGGAAGACATAATCCAGACTGGCAGGTGAACCACACCAACCACATTCATATCCCATTACCTGCTTCATATGGCCGTATCCTCCTTATCTGGATATCACATACTGCCTATTGCCATACTCCACATTTCAGTTTAGCTGTGAGTGGGTAAGTGTTTTTTATTTGTTTATTTCCCTTGCAGTGTCACATTTTCTATATTGGATCCTGTTCTGTGGGGAGTGGTGCCTATACAGATATACTAATTCTTAAATCTGCACTGTACAGCTTTAAGGTCTTATTATTTTCATTGATGAGATAGGGTGTTCCACAAGACCACTTCTAAGTTCTTCCTTGAGGTGTTTTGTGTCATAAGTATGTTTTTCCTGACCATACACTTATGGACTACCATAAGTAGAGCAGAAAGGAATTGCTGCCCATTCTTGCTGCTCTTTCAGTTGAATAAATTGGGAATGGCCTGCTTTTAAAAATGGGGTTTTGCTAACACCCATTGCATTTTCTCTGGTGCTGAATTCATTCAGATTGTTAAGATGGGGTGTTCTACAAAATTGTTTGTAGGTTCTTCCTCAAGGTGTTTTGAGTCATAAATGTGTTCATCCCTGACTGTACACTCGTGGACTATCATGAGTAAAGCATAAGGGAATTGCTGCCCATCCTTGCCACTCCTTCATTTGAATAAATTAGGAGTGGTCTGCTTTTAAAAATAGGGTTTTGCAGTCACCCATTGCACTGTCTCTGGTGCTGCATTCCTCTGGACTCTCCAACACATTCTCCCCCCTTTTTCCAGTGAAGTACAGGAGTCCTAAACACTTACCAGCTCCTAGCTGCTGGGGTAGTGGACCATGGTGGTTTTCTCCTGAGTGCTCAGTCCCACTCAGTTCAGAGTAGGGTGGTGGTGTTTTGCAAGGCTAGATGATGTTGCATTATTCTCCTACTGTGGACCTGATGCATAATTCAAGATGCTGTTTGGTTTTGGACTGGATGAATCTACCAATAAAGGCAGTTCAGCCATCTGGCTGGAAACCTTCCTTCCTACCACCTGAATGTCTGTTCCCAGGTAGTATTGTGTTGGTTAGAGCTGAACCATCTAACATAAGTCCTCACATGTGAGTCGGCTGGGACCCCCTTCCTACCATGGATTGGATGATGCATTCCTAACGCTGCATGGTTTTGGATTAGGTTGAATCTCCACATTGCATTCCATCTTCCTACTGTTGTTCGGATGTCAGTGCTTGGGGATACAGATATTGGTTATGTTGGATATGCACACGTGAGGGCTTGGGTTCTTGGAATGGATGTTCTCTTTCCCTTCTGGTTTCTAAGTCTGAGGTGAATGATAGAGGACCTCCTTCCTACTGTGGAGCAGATAATGATCCTTTCCTAGTTCTGCTGATTTTGTATAGAGTTGATATCCTAATTATGGTGTGTTGTGCCCTAGCCATTCTACATCATGGGTATGTCTAGTTTCAGTAGGTCAAGGACCTCCTTATTATGGGGACTGGGTGAACCATTTCTGGATTCTCTGGATTTGACCTTCCATTTACAGTTCAAATATAGATGGTTGAGGACCCTCCTCCTACCAGGGACAGGATGTTCCTTTCCCAGTTTTGACAGTTTAGGTCTGTGGTTTGATCTCCTGACTAAATGGGCCCTGTCCACTCTATACCTGCGGCACATATGGGTAATTCTCAAATGTGCCTCTTTGCTTCCCCTTTGGTGACACTGCCATACTTCAGGGGCAAACAGTATACCTGGTTCAGGTGTAGTGGGGTCTCCTATGTGTGTTTCTCTTCTCATGGATTCTCTTTAGATGCATTCTGAAGGTGGCTCATCTAGGTGATTTTGCACCAGTCCCTCCACCAGATCAATTTGGGATTTTATATATTATGTGAGAAGAGGTAAGGTATTGTATGAACAGTTATAATTTTCCTACACAGAAAATGTATTTCTGATAGATACCTCTCCTCACCCTTCCTCCCCACTTCTGGTGTTTCTTTTGCTCCTAATCTCGAAGAAAAGATTAGGTTAACCTGGGCAGAGGGAGACAGCTACATCAGAAGAGTGTGTTGTGCTCCTGTTGGTGGAGGGTTTCCACATGTTTATTTGCATGAGAAGATACAGCAGAACCACGTTAAATGTGGGGTAGGTGGAGTTTGAAGGCTAGTGGCAAGCCAAAAATATTTGTACCTATAGAGGGCAGCATTGAAAATGAAAAGCTATTATGTGACAGGAGGTAAGTATCAATCAGAAATACATTTTCTGTGTAGAAAAACTATAACTTTCATTTATTTTTATTTTTTTGGGAACTCTTCCATAGTGAGGTATTCAGATGTTTCCTGTTTAAAATTCCTATTGGCTGCTCAAGTGTTCAAAGCTTTATTATTTTTTTTTCTTTCTTCCTTCCATTAAAACCTAGTTCTAATATTGTGCTTTTCTAACACGTAGGTTGTTTAAAATGTAATGTTTGTTTTTGGAACAGGTGTATTAGATTTATTGGTAAAGTTAGTTAAGTATAGTAAAATGGGTAAACCTTTAGAATTTATCTGTTGACCTAAAGAATTAAAATAGAATTTTCACCAGTTAAATTTTATTGTGATTGCAAATTCACCTCTACTAACCCTAAAGAAATACATGTATGTTATAGTTTATTTACTGTTATTCATGTACTTTTAAATCAGTAGCTGCATTTTTTGAATATTAATATGATTCCAGTAATCTGAATAAAATCATTTGTGTTGTTTTTTCTCCATAATACTACTCACAGTCAGGTCTTTTGGCACATTGTATAAGAATTTCTAGTTTTTTTTACAATTCAGGAAGAATAAACATATATTTATTCTACATATTACACATTGACTTGATTGTTTTTATGCAGGTTAAGTCTGCCATTCATGAACACATAACTTCACAACTCTCACTGGTTCATCAGAGAGAAATCCAGCTGTATCGCCAAGTTGATGCTATGATGGCACATCAGAATGCCTTACTTCAGAACCATCTTGCTCAACTGTATCAGACTTTGGGAAGCTTAAAATCTTTCACAAAATTTCTAGAAGAAAACCGCTTGGCACCATCATCTGGGGTGCTGGACAGAAATATAGTGAATATGTGAGTTTGTGTGTATATTCTTATACTATTGAACCAGTTTGTTTGTTTCCAAAATTGTGCTATTATTTCTTGTTTATTCACAAAGAATTGAAGGGTAAATTGTTTTCAATTATGTTTGTTTGAAATTTGATGTAGGAAATGTAGTTTGTATGATGCTGTTATTTGTCTTACTCTTGCCTTATTTTGTGATGAAAAAGTTTGTAAGCTTAAAAATGACCAAGTCATTATAAATGAGTTAAGAGCTGAATTGTGTCATACTCACCTGTGTTATATTAGTAGCTTGTGTACACAGGTTTGTATGTGCAGGCCTTGCAATGAAACCTTTAAACCTATAAAAGCCTTTTATTTTGTCCTCATCTTTTAATTCATTTATTGTTGCTCAAAATAGACCAAAAAAACCCCATAAAAACCTATATATTTAAAGGTAAATCTACATTTTGAAGCAAAAAAATATTATCTAAACATTTTTTAAATGTATTAATGATATTCCTGTAATTATTCGATACAGATGTATGGGAATATGATGATTTTGTAGCATTTTTGATATCAGGAATAATTTATACTTTATCAGTGTTATAAGAACAAACACTATGTAGTGAATTTATTTCTGGGATTTTTACAAATCAGTATAGAAATTTACATTTATTGTCAGTAAAAGATAAATTATGTATGTAACTCTGTATTTTTTTGGTTTATAAAACTACAACTTTTTTTTTAAAAAGGAGTCTTTAAAAAACCTATATTTTTTCAGTGACCAACGTGGAGTCTTATACGTGTGAACATTTATTAATATATTTGTGTGTGTGTGTGTGTATTTGTTTTGTCTAGAATGTAGGTATATAAATCTACCATCGATGAGAACATAAGTGCACAAAAGCTGCCCTTAACCCAACATGTTCTATATTTATTTTAGCCTGTGTTGTAATGTGGTTGCCTGAAGAAAACATGCAGTTTGTTTAATTTTTTCTAACACAACATTTTGTACAACCTACACGTTTTCAATTATAGTTGAATGGGGAACTGGAATTATTAATACTTACTAGCAGAGACTTGCAAAACATTTCCAGCCAAATTAATATCTTTATCATAACAGTACTTCTTTAAATATAACATTTCTAGCACAATACAAACGAATTGTAATCGTAGACAACGAAATGTATAAATCCACTTGTATATAGTCTGTACTTTATAAAACTTTTAACTTATGTTAGGCCTAAGTTCGATAAAGAGATAAATTAACACTGTAACCTGTGTACTTATCTTTTTACTTTAGTTTAGATAGGACTAAACTTTACTGTACTTAATACTATTGATAAATAAACTTATAATATATTCTATTTTTTAAAAACTTTTATACGTTTTTAATATTCTGTTGTACAAAATGGTTAGTAAAGTATATTTACAT